GCGTTGCCTCAAACCTCTGCTGCAAGACTACTGCTCTAGTATAAGGTCATCCCTGGCCACTGTGAACAGGTGACTAAAACATGGACATCAGCAATGCTTTAAAGCAAGGGCCAGCAAACTGTAGCCCAACGGTCCAAATTTAGTCCACCATATATTTTTGCTAACGAAGTTTTAAAGAACACAGCCACACATTCATTTGTGGATTGAGTTAAACAATTGGGACACAAAGCCAAAAATATTTACTATATTGCGCTTTGCAGAAAAGTTCACCAACTTTATAATATGAATTAAACGTAAGAAGAGACTGAGTTAGGAAAATTATCAAAAATGCAAACAACCAAAGGGGATGAAGAAGCAGCAGAAAGGGACTGTTCTAAGAAATAAGGACTGTCATCATTGACACAACCTCCAATCTTCACCATGAAAATATTCCAGGCAGTGTTTGAAGATTAAGCTGTGAGATTGAATAAAGAAGTTTAATGTATAACTAGTACTTAACAATTTTTTAAAAATCACAAGAAAAGATTTGAACAGGTGATATCCAATCCAGAGCAGCTTCTACAGGAGCCTAATTAAAGGAAAGCTAATCATTACATATATTTACAAATTCTAAGTTTTCTTAGGGCAGTTAGGTTTTCATTTATAAAATAAATATTTAAGTTCATAATAAAACTATGCTAGAGCTATTGGTCATACATGATTTTTAAGGGTATCAATGCTACAATGTGTGCTGAAACCCAGAATAATCATTGCCTAAGCATAGCATTTATTCAATGACACCAGCTGACGTAGAGGTTGAAGACAGTAAAGAGGATCCAAACTAGTCTCCCTGCTTTCAGGGAATTCCACCAAAAGCTGCCATCCACAGCCTAACAGAACTAGCTTCCTCCAATCAGGTCTATCAAGTCACTTCTGTCTACGAGGTTCTTCCGGCTCACACTGTACTTCCTAGTCTGGCTTCAGTTTAACTTTCCAGCCTCATCTTCAGATAACCCCAGGCTTCAGATACACTGGAATACTCATTACTCTTGAAACAACAATAGCTAACAATTACTGAGCACTATCAATGAGTGCTGTGCAAAATACTTCACACAATCTCAAACCTTGGAACCACTTTATTCTATAGATATTAGCATTGCTGTTGTTATCACATTGGCTTTAACACTCCATAGGGCACCAACGCCTTTCAAAGTACATGGTCATATGTTTGTATAAAGTTTACAAAAATAAATAAATAGTTTGTATTCTTTATGCTAAACAGGTCCTACAAATTTGCATAAGTGTCAAGGTGCACACAAAGGAAACCCTAGATCGGCCTCTGGTTATTAAAATTCCCATTTTGTAATAATCATGGAAGTTAAATAAATCAACAAATTCCTCTTGCAAAGGTAGTAGCAGAGGTATCATTTAAACCCAGGTCTACCTGTCTTCAGAAGCTAAGAACTTTAATCAGAGTGCTAAGGCTGTATCTCTGTTCATGCTATTCGCACTGCAAAGAATAGCCATTCCTCCCCTTCCTGCTTTCATCACCAGATCCCTAGCAGGCTGCTACTCCTCCTCCAAAGCCCAGCTAAAACATGCCTCTGTCTTCCCAGCTTTCACCGATCTTTCTTGACAAAACTGAGACATCCTTAGATATCCCTCTATTTTTAACTACTTATAATAGTTCATACATGGTATAATGTCATCCAAAGAATATATCTTTGAAGTCAAACTGACCTAGGATCAAATTATGGGTCTGGCTAAATATTTGCTATACAATTTTAGGCAAAACCTTTAACCTCTCTGACACTGAACATTTTAATCTTTAAAACCGAAGTAATGATTCTTACCACAATCAGACATTTAAACATCCATCCATCCTTTTTATTCAATCCACAAATACTTACTGAATGCCTACTACACTCCAGGTGCAAGGCAGACAAAACCATGGGAACCCACAGGCAACATTTCTGCCCTCACAGAGCTCAGATTCTAGTGGACAACAAGTCTCCAGAGTGAGAAGAGTATTGTGATTGGACCAAGGTGGGGTGCAGAACTTGAGGGTCAGATAAGGACAATGTAGATGAATAGCAATTCACTGAAAAGTGTCATAAAAATATAACATAGCAAATGTTCAAGACAGATACCACAAGTAATTTCAACTTAATAAAATACTTCCACCCCACCCACACCTGATCACATGGCCCTCATTTCTTACGCATTTGAAAATTCCTCTGTCAGGGATGAAACTGGTTTTTTTGGGGTGGTTTTTTTTTTTCTTTTACAGTAAGTGGGTCAACAAAAATGAAATCTTTTTGCACTGTACTGGGCAATTGAGACCACAAGACTAATGGAAGAGGCCAAATTAATAAAAATAAAACCCAACAGTTTCTTAATATACTGTCACAACCACAAGAATTCCTTAATATTTATTCCTGTTTTCTGTGTTAGAGCATTTAATGACAGAACAAGGAAATCATTTTTACATTTTTCTGGGGGCTGAACTGCTGCACAATGTGAGAGAGCAATTGCAGCTTTCAAAAGAGATGCTAATTGTAGCTTTTAAAATATTAGACTCCCTCTAAACACCCGTCACCCTCTCCCCTAAGAGTTTCTGGGTCTTTCTTCAAGTACTGGGAGGATTTGCCATGTAGACTTCATTTTCTTAACTAAGGATTTTAGAACATTTTTGGTGAGTGACTCATTCCTAGCTCCTCAAGGACCCTAAGTCTCCCACATTCAGCGGCGCTGGAAAGAAGACCAGCAATATTTAGACAACAAACCCACAACTATTAGAAAAGCTGCACTGGACCATAAACAAAAACAACTCATCACCTCCTCCTTTATTCCATCTCAAGTGGGAATTTCCGTGTGACTCTGGACTTCCCACCAGAAGTCAGCAGTTGCCCTGTGGAAAGGGTCTACCACAGAGACCTGCTGCTGCTTCTTACTTCCTGGGAGAGTGAGAGGGATGCTTGCAATTAAATTTACCAGTGCTTTTCTTTACAGTAACATGACATATTTAGGAGACAGGAGGGTGGGGGCAGCAACTGCTCCCACATATTATAACTATATATTCAATTATTGGAAAATCACCCCATTCCAGCCAAAAGGGATGTGGAGGAGGAGGAAAGCAGAAAAAGAGTCACAAAATATGTAATAAGAATAAAATTAAGTTATAAAAACATGGGAGGTCAATACTTTAAGAATGCCCCCACACTTTCATCAGCCAGGGGGAAATGGAGATGGCAATGCTGGGGCTGGGGTTGTGGCTCAGTAGTAGAATGCTTGCCTCACATGTGTGAGGCACTAGGTTAGATTCTCAGCACTGCATATAAATAAGTGAATAAAGTAAAAGTCCATCAACAACTAAAAATATATATTTTAAAAAATGCCAATGCTTCTGGCTTTGGGCTATAAATGTAGGGGACATAAAACCTTTAGCTCTGAAATCCACAAAGTATCTGTATAATTATAACATTTTTTTCTGAAAATATAAAGATCTGATTCTGGTCTAAAAAAGAGGCTGACCCTTAATCAGTACATGAAATTACCGATGGACCTCAATTCTTGCTATGAAGTATGTGATCTATAAACATTTTTATGAAAAATTAAATACAATATCCTTTTACACCTAATTCCCAGTTTCATAGATTTCTGTCTTAATGATAGATATCTACTTAATTACACAGTGGGATTAGAAGCAAATTAAGGAGTAGATGGGCTGGCATTACCAGGGRCTCTAGTCTATCAAGGAATCTAAAATACTGGTGAAAAACATCATTATGAATAGAATCAGATGAGGAAAGTTCTATATGCGGGCACTTCTCTTAGGGAAAGGAGTGAGTGTGGAAAGTGGGGGACAAATTTTTGAAAAGAGGCCTGGGGTAGAGATGGGAGTGGAAATGAGTCCAACACATCTCTCTCTCTCTCTCTCTCTCTCTCTCTCTCTCTCTCTCTCTCTCTCTCACACACACACACACACACACACACACACACACACACACACACCAGCAAANCACACACACACACACACACACACACACCAGCAAATGGAAGTGGGTCCCAGTAAGGACTGGCCACAGGGCTACTGCTTTGCTGAATGGGTCACAAGCGGCAGAGCTACCAGCACTTTTCCTTCTCCTTTGTTTGTCCTGTAGAAAGCAGCCTCTCCCTGAATGATGGCCGAGGAACCTCGGTAGCTGTGCAGGGGTGTGAGGCTACAGGTTTGCTCTGGCCCGGAGTGCAGTCATGCCCACCAGGCTTCACGTTTCCTTGAAATGTGGGATCTAGTACTCCTTCCATCTTAGTCCTAACAGGGCTTACTGATCATTCAAAAAGGAACTTGGAAGCTTAAAAAAATGATCTTGTTGGTAGAACATGTTTGCTGCCCATCTCTAGAAGAGAGATGGCTAATTCTAAACATCTTGTGACACTCTGCTGCTCTCCGCTCACCTGAGTCCCAGGCACCTACCTATGAGCCTTTCTTATAAAACACCTTCCATTTGCAATCAATTAATTCTGGGTCAGTTCCAGTCAAGGGCCTGAGGCTTAGTTCTGAGAAAACACTGTATGTTCAGGACTTTCCACATTTCAATATTCCAAGTCATAATTCCTAATACCACCACAACCCGAGCAAATGCTGTCAATGGCATTGCTCAGCTCTAGCCTCTCTATCATATATTCAGAGTGATTTGAAAACTGAACTGAAAAGCAAGTTAAGTCAATAGTGTCCATGATGAATGGAATAAAAGCTGTTTGCCCTTTAAAAGAAAGCACTTCAAAAGGAGGAAGGGAGAGAAAAATGAAAGAAGAAAACCCGGTTGAAACATGGAATTTACTTGAAGAGGAGCCAGCAGAAGTGGTGCATAGGGTTTCACAGCACAGAGGGCAGGCGATGATCAGAAGGCTTCATTGGCACTATTAAATTTCTTTGATGGCAACCTTGGCTGGGAAGGCAAGGCACAAAAGTTGCATTCAGGGTTCTGAGGACCAAGAGGTGATGTCTGTAAACTTACAGGGATAGAACGGCTCAAGAATCTCGCTGAAGAGGAAGAAAGCCCGGTGTAGGGGGGCCGGAGGATGGTGGCATGCTCCTCGGTCTTGGCGCTGTGGGGGCCCAGGTGGCTGTTGAGGTTGCCCCCACTGCTGCTGCTGCTGCTGTTGCTTCTGTTGTACTGGTTATTGTTGAGCTCAGGGTAATTTCTGGCAGGTGGCTGGGAGGTGCCATTCAAGAGGTTGGTGAACGGGCTGGCTGTGAAACCTGCCTTAGAGGATGAGGAGGTCTTTTTGTTCTCGGGATCATCTGTTGCAGCATTCAAGTTTCCTAGAGAACTGGCTAGCCGGGAGTTTATGGAAAAGCTGGATAGAAAACAAAGATGAGGAGGGAAAAAAAAAAACTCAGGCAGCGATGTGTACTCACGCTGAGCTTGTGCTTCTAGGACACGTTCAGAACATTAGGGGAATATGACGGAGAGGATTCTGGTCAGTACAAATGATGACACATGGCCTCTTTTATTCCCCTCAGGGACATGAAAATATGTGCCCTTCACTTACACACGTCAAGTTCCTTGGTTAAAAGTTATTAACTAAGACCCAAGAAGCTGGGCTAACACTTTGACTAGAGATCCTGGAATACAACTGGGGGTTCTATGACACAGGAAATAAATGAAAAGTAAATATAAGGGGAGATTTAAGAGCAGACTTAGAATATTATTTAACTCATGCATACTTAAGCCCTCAGCTACATCAAACACCCCTACCCTTTTAGTCCATTCTCACCTGCTTACATATATCAGGTGAGAAATGATAATACCATTTCTCATCTGTATGTGCAACTGAACTCCATTTTCTAGATCACACTAAGCAAGCTGGACATTCACTGACATTCCCTAGATGGATGGGACCCTCTACGATATTCCCTCCATCACCTTGTACCCTGCAAGCAAGATAGAAACAGAAGCCCCAGGAGATCAGAGTCTTTGGGGGGGGGGTTCTCCCATTCTCCCTTGTCCCCTCCTCTAGCAAAACTACAGGGAAACCCATCACCTGCTGTAGACCTCCTTTTACCTCAAGCCAGTACCTCGGAAAGGGACAGAAAAAATTACCTTCTCACGCTGGTGCCTGAAGATGAACCTCTGCTTATCCTTTTGGCCGTTGCTGAAGGGGCCAAAGCCACTTTTGAAGACTTCAAAGTAGACACAGATCCTTGTGGGGAAGAACTTAATCTTTGTGGGAAACAAATGGACAGAGTGTCACACTAAAGCTGTTTTATGTTTATGTTAAATAGGCACTAATGATCTAGGACAATAAATTAAAGAACCTTAATTATGTCATGTTCACCACCACCCCAGGAGGCAGCTGATTATACCACCCACCACCAAGAAAGGAGACAGAGCCCAAAGGAAAGGTTCTTCCTCCAAGTCACCCAGTTGGCAAAGTGCCACGCTGGGATTCAAATTCATGATCCTGCTGTCCCTGTCACTTCCCTACCTTCCCACTGCATTCATACAGCAGCAGATCCTTGGTCCCACTCAGATCCATCCTTCCCTTTCCAGCCCACAACTGCCAAGGTAAGCCCTCATTATCTCTTAGCCTCAATTGTTAGTGAGGGAGAATAGGTAAATTTAAAAAAAAAATAGGCAAGAAGGAAGCTGGACTCAGTGGTGCATGCCTGTAATCCCAGCGGCTTGGGAGTCTGAGGCAGGAGGATTGAGAGTTCAAAGCCAGTCTCAGCAAAGGCGAGGCTCTAAATAACTCAGTGAGAACCCCATCTCCAAATAAAATACACAATAGGGCTGGGGATGAGGCTCAGTGGTCGAGTGTCCAGTACCATAAAAAAAAAAATAGATAAGAAGAGAATGGAAATAGGAAAGAGACTATATCTTTAACTCAAAGCCTTATGCGAAAGTTTCTCTCTCCCAGGCCTGTCACTCCTAAATTTCTGTGAAGTCTATAAATCTTCACTCACAATCTTAAAGCCACCAAAAATTCACTCTCTTATGAAAATTGCCCTTTCCACTGCTTGAAAGGACAATGGTAGAGCACCTGTATTTACGAGAGACCCCACAATGGGCTGGGAGCACAAAATATACTGTGGCCACCATGATGGCCACATAGCCCTGGGGTACGTCTGGAAGGGAAAATTCCTTTTCACAGCAAACATTAAAAATAAAGTGCACTGTCATCAATGTTCATAACAGCACAATTCATACTAGCTAAGCTATGGAGCCAACCTAAGTGCCCTTGAACAGAAGAATAAATAAAGAAAATGTGATACACACACACACACACACACACACACACACACACACACTGGACTAATAATACTCAATAAGAAAAATGAATAAAATTATGGTTTTTGCCTGTAAATGAATGGAACTGGAGACTGTCATGGCAAATGAAATAAGCCAATCTCCCTCAAATCCCCCATTTTCTAAAGGCACCCATAGAAAGGCCTTCTAGCCTGCAAGCTCTTCTTAAGATGTGGTCATGCCCTCACCACAGGGAGTCTGCCTCCAGCCCTGGGTACACCCCTGTGACCACCTGGGCCCACGCTGATGGCAGAGAATGTTTTCTTGGATATGTGGAGGCTAACCCACAATAAGTGTGGGGGCAGGGGTGGAAGTTCAGTGGATTAGACAAAGGAAACAAAGGGAAGGAGGGGTATAGGAATGCACCACTAGTGAAACTCCACATCATATACAACCACAAAGAATGGGATCCTATTCATTTATAATATGTCAAAATACACTCCACTGTGATTGTATATCTAAAAAGAACAAATAATAATAATAATAAAATACTTGTAACAATCCAGGACAGAAAGGGAAAAATTTAAAAAAACAAAAAACTGTGCAGTTTACTTTCATCAGTTTGAGTGTTAGAAAATAAATCTAAAAGATAGCATGTATTTATAAGCTACCAGAAATTCTGTTAACAGTACCTGAAAGGCTGGGACACTACTGCTCTCGGGAGCCCTTTTGCATCATCAGACCTGCAGAAATCAAAGACACATGCTCCAGCATAACTATGTTCATACATGTGGGTAAAGACCAAAAGGCACACCATATGGATGGAACTGGATCAGTAAAAAATACTAAACTGTCTGGAGGGAAAAACCTTGAGTGAATATTAATATTCATCTACTTTATAAAATAAATCCCAGAACCAGCAGGAAGTACATATTCCCTTAAGATGTCCTAAAAATCAAACATAAAGCTTTTTGAAATTTATTTTTATCAATATAAAGCTATTTCTTATAGTTCCAAGCAAAGATGGTGAATAAAAAAGGCCAACAATGTACGCTGATCTTGAAGAACCTTCCACTGACTTAGAAAGAAAACACAGAGTGAAAAGAGCAGGGGTTTGAAGAGTCCTGGGTTGGAATGTTAGCTCCTTCCTAACTCCATCCCCTGGGAAGCAACTTGACCTAACATGGATCCATCCAAACATGGATGATGGAGCAGACCTTTGTGTTAACTCTGTTAAGCCTCTTATTTGAACTAAGACCTAACCTGGCCCCTTGTCCATAATAGATGCTCAGTAAATGGAACTCCTCTCCTCCACCTGCTACTGGTCATTGGTGGTTCCTAAAAACAAGGCTTGCTATCCCATTTTCTCACCATCCTATAGAAAATCCTATAGAAAAATCATAACCTCAACATGAACCTTTATTTCTTAGATCAGTAGACCAGTACTCCAAGATTCAATATAAATTAAGCATTATAACAATGAAACTAAATCCCATCAATCCATTTGATATTTATCATAGTGACCAAAAAAATCCTTCCTGCTATGCCTGTCTTTCACTTGTAAATTAAAGAAGACATTTCCCACAACATTCATTTCATTTGTGGACTGGGACCTTGTCACCCTACATATTGCTGCAAAGAATCTTGACTATATTTTCAGATTTTGCACCAACATTGAGTCTGAAACCTTTTATTTTAATTTTTTTTTGTAAATTTTTTATCTACTCTGAATTATAAGCAGGTTTCAGATGCTGCAGTCAGAAGTCAAGTTCCATCATTGATTTTGATGATTAATTTCAGACTTCAAAATCAACATGTTTTTAATTTTATAGGCACACATAAGAATCACTTATTAAATTCTTACCAACAGAAAGTAAAGCCAAGGGATTAGTAGCCAAAGCTTGCATAAATTCGTTTCTGCACACCTGGCTTCAATGATAAAGCCTTGACACACCAGTAAGGATTTGCCATAAGATAGAAAACACACATGGGAGAAAGGTAGAATTCCAAATGGAATTTGGGTCAGAGTACAAGAGACAATAACTACTTAGCAGCTTCACGTAGAATTCCAGAGACTGAGATGTAGCAATTGCTTTCAATAAGCTTTGAAAATTTAGCTACTACCAAACAGTGATAAAATACATAGTAAATAGACAACATATAGTTGTAATAAATCAAAACACCTGACCCAAACTTGGTATTTGTGGGATGATATTCAAAAAAGAAGATTAAATGTTTTAACCACGAATGAAAGCACACCAGGAATTTTAAAGTTTAAAGCATATCTACCTAAATGCACAGGTCGGTGAGGAGCGTGGCTGTCTCTGACTTTTTAAGGCACGTAGTTTGTCTCCCTGGGTTATATTATTTTTCATTTCCACATCTTCATCCTCTTCTAAATTATTCTGGAAAAAATTATGTTCCATAGAAAGGTCGTTATCAACAATTTTACTTTATGCAGATTTCTTAACAGAGTATAGATTATCTGTATTTACAAATACTTCCTATATAAATTATTATATAGATTGAATGTACTCTCAATTCATCATTATGCAAGTATACACTAAAGAATGGTTAACTATTTGCCATTTAAATAACTGGTAAAATTCCAAATGAAAGAATTTTGGTTACGGATGTGGTAGAATTGAAAAGGAGCTATTTGTTTTAATGGACCAAAGAATCCCTCATGCAAACACAATCATACTTTGGAAAATAGCCCAATACCGTCTGACTCAAGAGATACAGAACAAATATATTTTCAGATACTACCAGAAGCCATCAATGCAAATTCCATAGCTTGTTTACAAAAATGCAAGATAAAATAACTGAAGATATCTGCACAGTAACTCATTAACATCACTTAACACTAGTAAAAGCACTCCAGCCCTTTCCGGGAGTTTAAGGACCAGTGTCACTTAAGCTGGGAAAGCACGTTTCCTTCTGAGTCAGTTTTGTAGTTTGAAAAACAGAAGTACCATGTTAGTATTTTCACATGCCAGTTCAAGGGGAGTAGAGGTGATAAGGAGATAAAAGAAGTAAATCCTATCTACCACAGCAGGAGGCAACAGGAAAAGATCTAAGATTTATTTAGAAAAACAGCAATAAACAAGGTAGTTAGAAATATGGCAGTGAAAATACTAGTATAATTTGCTCAGCAGTCTGCGGAAATGGAAAGGTGAGATAGGGAACTGTATTTTAATTGTTAGAATCCAATACTTTTGATATTTTTAAAGCTGTGGTCATATCTCACTTGAAAAAATAAAAGCTGAGGCTGGGGCTGGGGCTGGGGCTGAGTGGTAGTGCACTTGCCTGGCATGTGTGAGGAACTGGGTTGGATTCTCAGCACCACATATAAATACATAAAATAAAGGTCTGTCAATAACTAGAAAAATATCTTTAAAAAGAAAAGCTAATTTTAAAGAATATATAGTTCTAAATTAGCTATATATTTAAAATTATAATTACACATTTTTATTCTCTCATTCTTTTTTGTAAATAATACCACATTTCAAAAACAGAAAACAACAAAAATGTAAGCACACTGGCATCTACCTAACTAACTAGATTGAACATATTTTTTACTTTCTTAAGTTTACTTAAGTACCATCACTTTCCAAAAGAAAGAAAACTATAATACATATATGGTTCCAGCTCTCAACCTCCAGAGAGGAAAATAATGTCTCTTCTTTAAGAAGAATTATCAGGGCTGGGGTTGTGGCTCAGTGGTAGAGCACTTGCCTAGCATGGGTGAGGCACTGGATTCGATTCTCAGCACTATGTATAAATAAATTAAAAAAATAAAGGTCCATCAACAACTAAAAAATATTGTTTTTAAAAAAGAAGAATTATCATATTGTATTTGTTTGGCACAAGAAATAAAGCACAATAAGCATGAAAAAATATTGAAACCACCTTTATATTCACCATCAAAATCCAAACACATTAACATTTTGGCACACAATTTTTCCTGTACTACACACATCCCCATGATATACTTCTTCCTTATCAAAAGAGGTTATGTTTTAAACACTACTTTGTAACTTGTTTTTTCTATTAAAAATACAGTTTGTGGAAGCATATCAGGACAAATAAAAAAAGATCTCTACATTATCATCTTATAGTCCCATACAATTCAATTGTCTAGAAATGCCAAATTGTATTATTTAACAAAACCCCTGTTCTCTGTCTTTCTGCACTATAAATAGACTCCACAAATATTCCCCTATACACACATGGTTATTTAGTACTGTCTTATTATTGCCATAAGACAAATTCATAGAAGTGGAATCACCAAGTTCATTTTAAAGTTGTCTTCTACATGTTATCAAATTGCCCTCCACCACAGCCATACCATTTAAACTTCATCTAGAAAAGTTTAAGAGCCTATTATTCCCTTAAACCCTTGCCAATACTGTATAGATTTCTTTAATGTTTGAAAGGTATAATCAGCATCTCATCATTTAAATTTATGCTTCTTTCATTTTTAGGGAAACAGAACATCTCTTATGTTTAGCAGCTACAACGGTTTCCATATTGCTTTATTTGGGTGCATGGTGTCTTCACGTTGATACACACACACACACACACACACACACACACACAACATTCTCATTTTTATGTCTTTCAATTTCCTCCTAATTGCTACTGTGAAGAGAATGAGTGGGAGAAAGCAAAGACTGGGCGTGGAGAGGACAGCTAAATGGCTACTGCAGGGTGTGGTGAGAGGTGATGGGTTGGACTAGGTTATAGGAAACTGCTTATAAGTCTGTACTTGAGGAAGAGGGAAAAAGAGGGGGAAATGATCAAGATTATATAGATCTGAAAAAACATACTAAAATTCAAATTATGTTCGTTTGTCTAAAGTGATCTTCCCTCAATTTATTTCTGTGGCTACTGGATGTAGTTTAGGGTATTTTTAGGACTAAAAGATATAGAACATACAAACTACAAAATTGTCAGTAATTGATTATTTGCCTTCAAACTCTTTAACCCAAGTACTACACAATGTTATTCAAAACACATTTACATTAATTTACAAAGTAAAGAAGCTAAAAACTTGAAGGGGAAAAGATTTTGGACCTGTGGAATACTGAATAAAATACACAAAACATGCATATACTCAAGTCCTATGTTTATAAGGGAATTGATCCTAAATATATACCCCGTCAAAAGAGCCAGTGTGTATAGGATTGGGTGGGGGTACTCATTAGAAACGTATTTCTATATATTATGATTCTGAGAGAAATTTATTAAAAAGCAGCTAAGGTTTTGTTCAAAATTACTTTATTAATGTACTAAAACCACAGTGATAACCTCATGGAGTGACCTCGCAGTAAGGTGACTGAGTACACAGATGGGGCCAGCGTTCCTGGGTTCTAATGAGAGCTCCACCATATGCTTTGTGATCTTGGAGAGGTGCCTCACCTTTCTTCACTTCAGTTCTGTATTCTGTAACGGGCCTCATGCTGATGGTTATGACATATGGCTACTGTAAGGATTAAAGAGTTATTCCAACCTAAAGTGCTTAGAAGAGTTCCTGTCATGTACTGGGTGCTCTTTAGGTGGCTATTGTCATACTAAGTTCCTTGTTTAACTCAACTATTTACACTTTAAATTTTTAAATAAAGTGTTTTGAATTCCATCTTCTTCGGGTTACTTTTTTCTGGTTTTTTGTTTTATGTTTCCCGTAATGGTGGGGATTAAACCCAGGGTCTGGCAYATGCTAGGCAAGTGCTCTACCAACCAGCAACACCCAGGCCTTTTGTTTTTTTAAACCCAACCCATAATGAACACTTACAACCCCCTAAATGTCAAAATTTACACTTATTGCTGGGACTTTTGTATTTGAGCATATATTGTCTGTTGGATTATTGCCAATTCCACATCTGTGTCCTTGTTCTTTCTTTTCTCTGAAACGGTAAGCCTTCTTCATTCACTCGAGTAACATCTATTAAGGCCCTGTGGACCAGGAATAGAACCATGATGAGATAAAAACCTACCGTTATACAATGTACCACCTGGCAGGGGAGCACAGATAAAGGCCTTAGAGGAGAAGCACAGAGCAAGCCAGGAGCATGGAGCAGGACCCTAAGTTAGATCAGCAGGCAGTATGTATTTCAGAGCGCTTAGCCCAGAAATAAAGACCAGGTTCAATAAAGGTAAAGCCTCTATTTTTCAAGATTCCTCATAATTCTCAGTGGACTAAGAAATTTATTAAAGCCCCAGCCTTGTCCATTAGTATAATCTGCATCACTCTGGTTAGTATTTTTTCCCACCCACTAACCACTAAAAAACTATATGTAAATTGTCTAGATTAGGACATTACAGAGCATCCTAATAACCAGTCACAAGAAAATTCTTTTAGCCATAGAAAACAAAAATAATTTAGAATCACTCCTTTCAATCTTTTATTAATTATTTAAATGGTAATCTCTAAAGAACTAACTACATAAATCCAGAACTTGCATAGGCTTCTACCCTGAACCTGCAACTTGAAATCATCAAAATCCTTATAGTGTTCTTGACTTTTTTCCCCTACTTTCAATTAACAAGAACAAAGATACTATTCTCTATTAAGTCCATTTTTGGTTAAACTAATTCCCCTATTAGTGTTCCATGGATGGCATTAGGTAAGTAGGGGGGAAAAAAAGAGTTCACTGTGTAAAATACTAAGCATACCATCATCCTCTGGCACTTCTGAATTCTTTCATTTCTGCACCCTATAACTGCAGAAACAACAGCACTCATGAATGGTTAAAGCTAAAATAATTAGTTGGTGGGATACAATAATACCCACCACAATTCATAATTTGTGCCCCACCCCCAAGATTCACATGTTGAAATCCTAACCCCTCAGGTGATGCAGGAAGAGGTGGGTCCTTTGAGAGGTGATTAGAGCCCTCATAAATGGGATTACTACCCTTATAAAAGAGGCCCCAAGGAGCCTCTGCGTGAAAACACAGGAGAATGCACCAGCTATGGACCAGAAAGCAGGCCCCTACCAGACACAGAATCTCCCAGCTACTTAAACATGGACTCCACAGCCTCCGGAATCATAAGAAATGAATTCCTATTATTTATTAGCCACCCAGTTTATGGTATTTTCTTGTAGCCACCTATATCATGGGGCACAGCAGGGGTCATAGAAACAGCCAGCAACTAAAAATAAGTCTATATTTAAAACTAGCATATTTTAAATTTCAATCATATGGCATTCCTTGCTATTCTAGTGATAAGCATTAATTATTCTTAAGTTCAACAAAATGGGATCTAAAAAATGAGAATCAAGTGTACAAAGTACCRGACATTAATTTAATATAGCATCCTACAAAAAGAATTGTTATTGGAAGTTAAATGTGTTCCTCAGATAAAGGGATAAATGTCTTTTGTCTTTTCAAAGGTCATAACTCAAAGCCCTATTTACTTGAATTCAACCTAGGAAGGAAATGCTGACCAGAGCAAGAAAAGTGTTCTTGCTTAGCAATACTGTCACATTAAAATGCTCCTTCACATCCTTTCTGTTTGTTTTTAATAGGCCAGACTGCAACCCAGAGACAAGAAAAAATCAACAAAGGCTCTGAACATCAACATGACCTTGGCTAACATTTGCATTCCACCAGGACAGATGACTCAAACAAGTAAACTTAGCCATTCCATCAGTGGCTGCCTTGCGGAACATACACAGAGCTTAAAAAATCAGTTCCTTTAGGAGTCTCCATCCTTTGTCCTTCAAAAAAAAAAAAAAAAAAAAAAAAACTCACTCTCACCACCTCCGAGCACTCTGGTTCTCTTTCTTGCCAAAAGAAATGTTCAGAAGATGCCAAATGTTGACCTAAAAGAGCTATCATTCACTCCTTCCATTTTGGGTTGCTCAAAGGTGTTAAGTTGCAGGGTTTTATCAAGGCCTTGGTCTGGGGCTAATGGATTGCCCTCCAATAGAATGCTTTAAATATTTTTAAACATTTTTTTTCTTCTTTAGGGATATAAAAATATAAACCAAGTAYTTAACTTCACTTCAGGCATAATGATGGAAAGGAGCTAAACTAGGAACTAGAAGTCCAATCTCAAAGCGGTCCCACTCTTAAATAATTCTGGGACCCTGGGCAAGTCACAAATTTTCTGGGACCCTGGTTTATTATGCATACAAGAACTAGAAAAATTGATTGTAAGGTTGCTTCTACTTCAAAAAATGCTCATGATCCTAATTCTTACTAAGTCACTTCCTGCCATATCAAAGTTAGCAGGGAATAATGGGAAAAATACCAGATTGGGATCTGACACGCATGGGTTTTAACACTGAGGTTAGAACATCTCTGATACACAATTTCCTTACTATAGGAGAAATAATATTACCTAACTCACCAAGTGGTTATGAAGATTAAACAAGATGACACACAACATCTATTAAAGAGGTTTACTTTGAATAGAGCCTCAGAAAATGTATTCCCTAATTGTGTTTTCCACTCTGCACTTACTTTACAAATCAACATGAATTGAAGTCTTTCAAAGTACCACATGGACTACTTATTCAATTGTAACATTAAAATTTCTATTTCCAAATAGTTTGCTTTTCTACCTCCTTCCTATGAATATTCTGCATATCTGAATAGCCACCCTTTCTAATTGTACTCCTTCAATTATAGCTTTTTTTTTGTTCTTTCTTTTCAAGGGCAATTGGTTTCTTTGCTCTGCTCCTTGCTTGCATGTGGATAACTCCACACCTAAACATTTGGTCCTCTCAGCATCTCAGAGAAAAGATACTGCTATGTCATACCTGTTCAACTGGAAAACAAATACAAATTAATCTAATTGAGATAGAATCTTCCTGGGGGAAACTCACCTCTCCAAATCTTTCCATGTTTTGTATTTTTGATAAGCTTCCACTAATAGACATATCATCCAAGCTAGAAAGAATTTTATTAATACTTCCTTCACTGGATGGTCTATTTTTCAGTTTGGATCGGAAAATGTCTCCTTGTACCCACAATGATGCTTGTTTTCTGTAAGAGAGCAATCAAAAACAATCTTTAAAATAAACTACTACCATGTCTTCCTAAAACTTAAAAAGAGAAAATATTAGCAGGACAACATTTACAAATCAGACTATGAAAATCAGATTGTGAAATAAGATATTCATATTATGAAATTTTGAACAAAGAAAAATAAAATATCTTTCAAAAGTCAAAATAAATTTAAATTCTATATTAAACACAAATAAACACAAACATTTGTCCATATAACTATGCATGGGTTGACTATTGAGGCCCTCATTATAAAGACTTGAGAAGTTTCTGGCCTTTCAAATATGAACTTGAAGTTTGTAAGATATCTTTCAAGTAGTAGTTTGATTTGTCTGTTATAAAAACAACCAGAATGAATTGGATTGACAACAGATGCAAGAACTCAGGTTACGTGCAGATTATACCCCCAAAAGCACTAAGCACCTCTTTTTTGTGGACCCTCAACACATAACTTTTAAAACCCCACTCTTAAAATCTAAAAGCAAGTCCTAAAAATCCCAATCAGTTTTTCCTTTGGGAAAAGAAAATGTGAGGTTCATTCATAAGCTTTCTTTTATTCAGAAGGCACAAATGCAACTGTTTTCAAGGTTATCAGAAGAGAACTTAAAATACATGAGCAAAATAATCATCAAGGGCTTCTATTTTTATTGGTGAGGTCACCTTCATACATTTCTTTTAAGATAAGTTATTCCATAGAATAGTTTTATTTCTATCCTATATCACATTCTACAGGGAGGAATTAATCATGAGGAACATTAGCAGTCAATGAATAACAGCATTATCAGGGTGACGCTACCAATAAGAACAGATTTTTTTTTTTTAAGCAACAGGCAAAGAAAGCAATCCTTTCTCTCACAGTTTCTACATATCACATAATTCAGGTTTATTAACAAAAGAAGTAAAGCAATGTTACACAGGGCCCTTGCAAAAGAATCCATCTCCCATTATAAATAAAGTTTATTCTCAAGTCAGTACATTGTTGTTTTTGGTCAAACACCATTGAATGTCAGGAAGAATAGGTTAACCTGTAGATCACAGCTATAGTGCACATGTGTAATCCCCCAACACACATTTAGATATTATCTTACAAAAATAAACACTGTGTATAACATAAAAAAATTACTGAAGTATTATTTGCAATAGAAAAAATTGTTGGGAACACCCTGGTGGAAAACCAGCTCATTAGATTGCATTAGCCCCATTTTATGCAGTATTTCATGGATGCATAAAGCCTGTGATGGACCCACATGAGGTAACAGGAAAGAATGGCCATGAAATGAAGTATTAATAAGTAAAAAGTACAAGTGGCAGAGTATGGAAAGTGAGGTCCCTTTTGTGTTAAAGGAAATAAAAAAGTTGTAATGTTAACGAAAAGTTCAGTTACCTAAAAAAAAAAAAAAAAACCTCACAAAATATTCACCAGTTACCCTGAGAAGGGTGATAAGGGAAACTTTCACTTTCTACTACATCATGTCGACACTACTTGACTTCTTTTTAACAATATGCCTCAATCACTTTGGGGGGGGAAAAAGTGATCTAAAAAAACAAATAAAAATAACGATGAAAGCAGAACAAAGCTAGATAAGTACGGAAAGGAATCTTTGAGGTTGTTATAAGAGATGACAGACAACACGTCACTGTATATTCTTAACAACACGACTTACAAAGGTCCTTTAGAAGTTAGCAGAATAACTGCAAAAAGGTTAACAGCATGGGGTAGGACTGGATGAGTGGAGGACTTTCTTTTTAGTAGAATATCCTACCCTACTTTCAAATATGAGGTAATTTTTCCTTTTTCCTCCCTATTTTAAAATATATATAAAAAAAAAATATATATATATATATATATATATATATATATATTCCAAGTAAAACAAAGGGGGAAGAAATACCTTTACATCTGATTTCTGAGATAGCAAATATACAGGTTATAGATATAAAATATGTTGTCCACATATAGGACTAACCTACCATTTCTTATATTGTTCTCAAATTGAAAACTAGTTTGAATTGTCTTAGCAAAGTTTAGTGTACTTCTGAATAGATCAAATGTATTTTAAAAGTCTGCTGAGTTTTTTAAAAATAGGAATAAAATTAAAATTCAAAAAATCTACATACATCAATTTACTAGGCAAGATCTGCCTTCTATCATGGTGGAACTTGATTTTTGGAAGAAACCTCTGAGATGTCTTTCCTGAGTTTAGGATATGTACATTGATGAGATTAACATACCACTGCACCACAGTTAATTTATCCTATATATCAACTGTAAAAATATGGATTCAAAACAAAGTCAACATTTCTTTCCTTAGTTCAAATCTTAATAAAATCAGGGAATAACCTCTCACATTTCACATCTTCAAAAAAAAAAATCTTGCTTTCTTTTTTTTCTGCCTCCTAATTCACTACTGCATGCCAACAGCTAGCATAACCTCTGATCTAATCCTTGAATCTTATGACCTCCACACAGTAGTGCACAAACAGTAGAGTCCTTGACAGAGAAAGAATGGTTCAAAAGATGACTGTTAAATTCATTAAAGTGTTTAGGGTATCTGGTTAAAACTCTCACTATAATAAGGGAGACAGAATTCAGCTTTATCACAAATATGACAAATTCAGATCAACAAAATACCAAATGAATAGGAACATAAAGGCTGGGATTGGGGCTCAGCAATAGAGCACTCGCCAAAGCCTATGTGAGACACTGGGTTCAATCCTCATCATCACATAAGTAAGTAARTAAATAAATAAATAAATAAATAAGTCCTGTCCACCTACAACTAAATACACACACACACACACACACACACACCCCAAAAAAAGAATAAGCCTAAGTATAAAAAAACAAATCCTGTCCCTTAAGAAGTTCTTGGTTTAGGACGAGAAAAGTAAACAACTGAAAACCAGTATTATAAGCTCTATGACCAAGATTCACACAGAACCCTAGGAGAAGGGGCCCCAACACAATCTGAGGGACTCAAAGAGAAATTACCAAAGAATCCAGACGTACATCATTGTGGTGCACAATGGATGTTTCCATCAACTGTGGATCATGTATATGTAGGTGGTCCCATGAGATTACAATGGAGCTGAAAACTTCCTATTGCCTAGTGACATCAAAGTCATAACAAGGCCATCATGCAACACGCTCCTCACATGTTCATGGTGATGCTGGTATAAGCAAATCCACAGTGCTGCCAGTCATATAAAAGAACAGTACATACAATTACGTATCCTACATAATGCCCAACAGTGATAATAAATGACTGTTATGGACCTATGTACTTACTATACTATACTTTAATTATTATTTTAGAGTGTTCTCCTTCTACTTGTTTAAAAAAAAAAAAGTCTACTATATAACACCATGCTTTGTCACAGGCAGCAGCCTCACACATCTTGTTTTTGCTACTATTTCTTCATTGCATCAAGAGGCCAGGTGAAGCAATTGACCTATACCATCTAGGCTTGTGTAAGTCCAACTATCATATTCACAGGATGACAAAATCAACTGTCCTTAGGCAAAAAAAAAAAAAAAAAATCTGAGAACTCCCTGTCCTAAGTCAATGCACAACTCTATCTGGAAATACATAAGCAGGACTTAGCCAGCAAAACGCATCCCCAAAGCAAAGAAAACAATGTGTAAGCTGCAGAAATAGTGATATCAGAGAACATGGCATGTTTGGGGAACAGAGTTGTTTAATTTGGCTGAAGCTAAGGATTTTAGAGAAGTAGGTAAGAAGCAGCTCAGGATGGGTCCTGCATGCTATGCTAAGACATAATAAATCAAATAAATCCACAAATAAATCAAAGACCTGTAACCGTCTTTAGGAATAAAAACCATAAAGTGGGTATAGAGGCAGAGGAACAAAACCTAAGAGGCTAAGTTGGGGGAAAAAAAAACTCCAATTCTAAAATAAGTTATAAAATGAAAATCTGATACTGCTGCTAGAGATGAAAATTACAAAGTGACAACTTTCACATGCTTGGTTTAAAAGATTCAATCTGTCCCATCTCTGGAAAGACTTGATTTGAACCTGAATATTAAAGATGAATAAGGTGTCAGAGATGATTTGAGTGTTGCTAAGCGATGCTGTACGCAAGTGCTTCTTGGAAAAAAAAAAATGCAGTGCTCACGAAAATACCTTTTTATTGACAATGAAAACCACGCAAGCTTTTATTGTGGTGTCTGTTACTCTTTAAAAGTCTCATCTCCAACAAAAGAAGTAAAACATGTACTTTTGTATTTAACATTTAAAAATCAAATTTTATGAAGCTAACACATCTGCTGGAAGTAAACCCTCCAATTATGCAGTGCATAGAGTTTGAAACCACTGGTCCTTGGTACCAGAATCCATGCTTTGCAATGATAGGAAGAGATTGGTCTTGATCTGAACACCACGTTGAGAGATGTAACAGGATGGGGTAATTGCTTTTGGCTGTGTCCTGCCCCTTGGTTAGTCAGACTTAACCTAGCCAAGAAAGGGACTAAGAAAATAACTAAACAACTTGGCTTCATTATGAGCCAATTTATAATTGATTCTGACATAGAGACTTCATATTTCTTAATAAATATCTCATTGTATAGTCCTATAGTGAAACTCAAGTCAGTTGTGCTGCTATAAATATTTCTGTTTTTTTGAGTCCAGAGAACAATGTATGTCATTTAGTAGCTATTCCTGTTTGTGGCTGACTCTTCTCCCTCATTTCCTTAAATCAAGCTGATCCTACCTTTACACCATCCTAACTCCTCATCTTCAGTACACCTTCAATCCTGGACACATTTTTTCCAGGATGACCCAATCCTGATTCCAAAGTCCATTCAAAGTCACTATCTGGTCATTTTGTGTAGACTTCCTAGCACTTTCTAGTTTGGCCTGGGCCTACTCTAGCAGTGACTAAGATCATAATCTGTACCTCCTACTCTACCATCTCAGGGCTGTTATAGACACAGAGGTAGTTCCCAGCTAAAGAAGTGG